AAGCTCGAGATCCCCAAACCCGGAAACGCGACGCATCGCCAACCTCCCCCGTCCACAGCAGTGTGGGCAAGGTCTCCGGCAAGGAGACACGGGGCCAGAGGTTGAGCTGATGCGCAGCGTACCGGACCGCAAACGGCCACAGAAAGTGGGGGGCAGCCGCATGGATCAAGGAGGTACGGGCGACCTCCATGACTAGGCCAATGCGGCGCTCCGCAACCCCATTCTGCTGTGGAGAGGCCGGAAGCGTGAACGACCCCATACTGCTCAATGCCGTGCTCAAGCGTGAACGGCTGCCAAGAGGTCGGAGGAGAACTCACCACCTCTGTCAGAGTGCAAGCGCAGGACAGGAAAGTCCGAGTGGAAACGCTCGCTGAGCTGGAGACGAGCTCTGCGGATCCAAGGGATCAAAACATCAGGGACCTCACCCTTGGTGCGCAAGGGGAAGACCGTGGTGTAGCGCGAGTAGTCGTCAACAACTATCAGGAAGTACCTCTCCTGACCCTGACCACGGGCGCGGGCTGGGCCCCACACGTCCATGTGGAGCGTCTGCAAGGGAGCAGTCGTCGGGGGAAACGAGGAGGAGTGAGGAGCGGCGCGCTGCCGCCCCTCGACACAGGGAAGACAGGGAGGAGCAGGCGAGGGTGGGAGGGGAGGGAGGACCCTGGGAAGACCAGAGACAAGGTACCGGGAGTGCATGGCACGAAGGCGCTGCACAGACGGGTGGCCAAGTCGGTGGTGCCAGAGGACGGTCTCATGCGCCAGAGAGCGACACGAGCAGGGGGCCGACAGCTGACCTGACGCGGACGCAGACGCAGCTACCTGAGGGGACTCAGTGGTCAGTGTGTACAGGTCCGACCCCGGCTGCCGAGTGAAGGTAGCCAGGTGACGGCCCGTCCGAGCACACGTGCAGTGTGTCATGCGCTCGTAGGCAGGGGTGAACTGGTGAACACCTCCGTCCTGGAGCGCACAACCCGCCACCAAGTTCGTAGAGAACGAGGGGAGGTGGAGACCTGACAGTGTGCCCGACGGGACCGCAGGACAAGGAAGGACAGTGGAGGAGGTCGCAATGACCGGACCCCCAGAGGGGTCAGCGAGGGAGACAGCAACTGGCCGAGCAAGCGGCTCAAGGGCAGTGCGGTCACGAAAGAAACAGTGAGAAGCACCTGAGTCCAGAGTGAAGGTGTGCAGTGCCTCAGTCGACTCAGTACCAGGGGGCGCAGACTCACTAGCACCTAGAGCAGCAGCCTCACCAGCACCTGGGGTAGCAGCCGCACTAGCACCTAGAGCGGCAGCCTCACTCACAGGACACGGCAGCTGCACCTGTCCATCACCAGAAGCTCCCAACCGACCCACTCCAGAGTGACTACCACTACGGCCACCCCGACAGCCCCAACTGGCGTACCACTCACGAAGCTGCTGGGGTGAAAGAGGACACGGCAGCTGCACCTGTCCACTACCAGAAGCTCCCGACCGACCCACTCCAGAGCGACTACCACTACGGTCACCCCGACAGCCCCAACTGGCGTACCACGCACGAAGCTGCTGGGGCGAAAGAGAACACGGCAGCTGCACCTGTCCACTACCAGAAGCTCCCGACCGACCCACTCCAGAGCGACTACCACTACGGCCACCCCGACAGCCCCAACTAGCGTACCACTCACGAAGCTGCTGGGGCGTGAGGGACTCACGCGCACGGCCCTGGAGCTGCATCTGGCCTCGCCAGGAGCAGCAGTAGCAGCAGTAGCGGCAGTAACAGCAGTAACAGCAGGAGCAGTAGCAGTGGGAGTAGAAAAGGCAGTAGCAGCAGTAGCAGTGCTGGCAGGGCAATGCTCACCAGTGGTCGGCGCGGCAGGCGCAAGACGGTGGCGACCGCGGGGCCGCTACAACTGCAGGGCGGGGCCGGGCCGCAGCAGGGAGCTCCGCGGCAGCTGCTGCAGGGCGAGGCCGGGCCGCGACGGCAGCTGCTCCAGGTGCCTGGGGCGGCTGCTGCAGGTGCGGGCTGCTCCAGGGGCGGTTGCTGCAGGTGCAGGTTGCTCCAGGGGCGGCTGCTGCAGGTGCGGGCTGCTCCAGGGGCGGCTGCTGCAGTGGCGGGCGGCTCCAGGGGCGGCTGCTGCAGTGGCGGGCGGCTCCAGGGGCGGCTGCTGCAGTGGCGGGCGGCTCCAGGGGCTGCTGCTGCAGTGGCGGGCGGCTCCAGGGGCTGCTGCTGCAGTGGCGGGCGGCTCCAGGGGCTGCTGCTGCAGTGGCGGGCGGCTCCAGGGGCGGCTGCTGTAGTGGCGGGCGGCTCCAGGGGCTGCTACTGCAGTGGCGGGCGGCTCCAGGGGCGGCTCCACGGGCAGGTGGCGACGCCGCGGGCAGGGCGACGCGGCGGGCAGGTGGCGACGCGGCGGGCAGGTGGCGATGCCGCGGGCAGGGCGACGCGACGGGCAAGTGGCGACGCCGCGGGCAGGCGACGACGCCGCGGGCAGGGGCTGCGTCGCGGGCAGGCGACGACGCCGCGGGCAGGGGCTGCGTCGCGGGCAGGCGACGACGCCGCGGGCAGGCGACGACGACGCCGCGGACAGGGCGACGCGGTGGGCGGCGAGAGCCTGCAGGGGCGGCGCGCGGTCGGGCAGAGGCTGCGCGCGGGCCTGACGGGTCTGCAGGGGCGGCTCTCGGGCGTGACGGGCCTGCAGAGGCGGCTCGGGGGGGGCCTGACGGGTCTGCAGAGGCGGCTCGGGGGCCTGACGGACCTGCAGGGGCGGCTCGAGGGCGCACGAGGGCGCACGAGGGCGTACGAGGGCGTACGAGGGCGCACGAAGGCGCACGAGGGCGTACGAGGGCGCACGAGGGCGCACGAGGGCGCACGAGGGCGCACGAAGGCGCACTAGCAGAGAAAGGCGCACGAGGGCGCACGTAGGGTAGGGCGCACGAGGGCGCTTCTAGCGGAATAGTGGGCCCATTGTAGAAAGCGGTCCTAGGTAGCAACCTAGGCTCGTGATACCATGTTAGAATCTAGAATAGAACGAGAATGGATGAACTAGCAGGAAGTTGGGTACAAGTAGGAAACCCTAAGTTTGTGTACCCTCTAAGGCTAAACCCACTATAGCCTACACAATATGAACATACAATGTTTGACACCTCGCTTGTCAGCGTTGTTAACACCATCTCCTTCCAGTTCGCAGGTGTCGCTTTGAAAGCTCTCAGCGCCCATTTCGCTTTGTCCCTATTCCCCAATTCCCTCGTCAGTTCTTCTAACCCCTTGAGCTTGGACGTTCCATCCCAAGTCTTCTTGATCAGGTCACCCTTCTGGTCAATCAGGCATGGCACCTAGTGTGCCGCGCCTGAAGCGCTAGCGTCATCGCCGTCATGGCCTTTGGCCTTTTTGCTTTCTTGTACACAGTGTGTGACATACACTATTTTTTGTGCAAGGTCTGTTGTTTTCTCTGTTCTTGCTTTCTTGTGCAGGTCATGTGTGTGTGTTGACTTTACTGTTTTTGCTTTGTGTAGGGCGTGTATGTGTTGAATTCTCTGATTTTCCTTTGTGCAGGGCGTGTGCGTGCTGACTTCACTGATTTGCTTTGTGTTTGGCATGCGTGTGCTGACTTTAATTTGCTTTGTGCAGAGTGTGTGTGTGCTGACTTCTCTGATTCTGCTTTGTACAGGGCGTGTGTGTGCTGACTTTTCTGATTTTGCTTTCTGCAGAGCGTGTGTGTGCTGACTTCTCTGATTTTGCTTTGAGCAAGGTGTGTGTTCAATGACTTCTCTGATTTTGCTTTGTGCAGAGCGTGTGAGCTGAGAAGGGTGTCAGAAACTAGCAGGAAGATTGAATGCACTAGGCAGGAATGTGGTACAAATATGGCAAACCCTAATTGGGTTGTACCCCTTATGGGCTACCCCACTATAGCCTACACAACATATTTTGACACACCCCCATAGGCAAAGTGGGGGAGAACAGGCGGTCACAAGACCAGTCAAGAGAAACAAAACAAGCTCAGGGTGGATCACGAAGTCACCACACATTCCGAGCACAAGCAAGGGGCCACAAGGCCAGTTCACATGCAGAGTTATATACAACAAATCAAACAGTACTGCGATCACAACCTAGCAAGACTATGCATGCACGTATATATAGATCACAGTACAAGCAAAGTCATGCAGTGAGCAAGTGAGAAAACGTAAGCACAAGGCCTAGCGCGGTACAGAAACGCTGATGATCACCAGGCAGAAGTGATGGCCCAGGTGGCCGCGTAAGCAAGACGAAGCTGACCATGCTGCTGCAACTCTCGAGCAAGGAAGTAATGCAGAGCAATGTGCTTCGTTCTGTGCTTCAGTCTGTGCTCCTGACACAAGACGATGGCGACCTTCTTGTCTATCCACAAAGCTGGAGGAGAACTAGGCCACTCTCCCAAGTCAGTCAGCTGGTAGGTGAGCCAGTGTAAATCTTGTGCAGCCATGGCTCCTGTGCAGATCTCAGCCTCACAACTAGAGCTGAGAACAGAAGACGAGCAGGTAGACCGCCAAGAAACATTGCTGGAACCAAGGCTGAAGGTGTAACCCTGTGACGACCGCTGCGTAGTCAGGTCGTCAACCCAAGAGGCGTCTGAGTGTCCAGTGAGGACAAATGGACCCTATCCTCCAAGCACCAGCCCCATGCCTGATGTACTGCACAAGTAGCGCAGCACCCTCTTAGCAGCCTCCCAGTGCTCTCGCCTGTGTCTCCCAGGTGCAACGTAGCGAGCCAGGATGCTAAGAGGGTACGCAAGGTCAGGTCGAGTGCAGGTCATCAGGTACATGAGGCTGCCAACAAGCTCTGCATACGAGCCATTCGGCTCTACGGACTCGTCCGAAGGTGGAGCTAAGAGCGAGTGACATGTAGATAGAGGAGTGGACTGTGGTGAGGAGAACTGGAAGCCGAAGCGCTGAAGGACCTGCTGCACCATGTGTGACAACGTCAGGGTGATGGTGCGGCGTGCTCTGTCCCGGGTAATTTGCTCACCCAGGTGTGTGCACGTGTGTCCCTTCTATAGCTCCGACTTCACAAGGGCGAGTGCCTCTGTGCCAGCAGTGGCAAAAACCAAGTTGTCAATATACACGAGGATGTAGAACGGCGGCAGCAAAGTGTCGGTGCGCAGAAACAGCGACGGGTCAGCAGTGGAAGGAGCAAACCCAAGAGCCGCAAGCGTCGTCCTCAGTGTGTCGTGCCACTCACAAGGCGCCTGGCGGAGACCGTAGACCGGCCGCTGGAGGCTCCACTGGGTACCAGGAGGGAACGACCCAGTGAAGCCAGGTGGGTGGCGCAGCCAGATCTCCTCGTGCATGCTGCCCTGTAAGAACGCTATGCTAAAGTCAAGAGAGTGAAGCTCGTAGTCACGCTGAGCGGCAACGTGCAGCAGCACCCAAAGAGTGGTCATCTTCGGAGTAGGGGAGAAGGTCTGGAAGAAGTCAACTCCCTGTTGCTGACTGAAGCCTCGACCAACATAACCAGCCTTGTAGACAGGCGGAGAACCCGGCGGCCGCTTCACCCTGAAAATCCACATGCCATCAACGATGTTCGTCCCAAGAGGGGGAAATGCGTCGACGTATGTGCCTGTGGACTTCCAGGATGGTATCTCTGCATCCATGGCTGTCTGCCACTGAGAGGAGTAGGGACCCGTAATCGCCTCTGCGTAAGAGCGCGGGGTCGGGATGTCCAGTGCATCCGAGCCTCCCTCTAGTGCAGGCAGCATGGCCACGAGATAAGGTCCAGCACCCGCAAGACACTCGAAGTCCTCCTGCCTGTCCTCAAGGACGTCTGTGCCAAGAGCACACTCACCCCCGACGGATGGAGGACAGACATACTCAGACTCAGCAACAAGACTAGTGGCGTAGTCTAGACGACACGCAGCAGCAAAGTCCACAAGCTCAACAACTAAGGCAGACGTAGCAGCAGACTCAAACGACGGGTCAGTGACAACAGTAGCCAGGATACGGGTGACAGTAGGGATGGCAGCACGAACCCGGTCAGACTGGGTCCGGATCGTCAAGAAGAGAGGACGTAGGAGGAGACGACAGGGGGATACGCTGTGGAACAGAGGAAGGACGAAGTGCCTGGCACAGGAGGAGGACGAGGACGAGGGACACGATGAGCACAACGTACAGTGCGAACAGGGGAAGCAGGACAAGACGCAGGCTTACGACGCTCTCTGAGGGAGACTGGCTACTCTGTGTAAGGAGGGGGGGCAGGCAGTAGTGAGTCTGGAGGAATAGCAGTGGACGAAGGAAGACTAAGAACCTGACGGAGCACCGACTCGGACAGCTGCGGCGGCGGCAAGAAAAACGGTCGCTGCTGCACAGGGCCTCCAGCTCCAGCGCCTCCAGCGCCAGCACCTCCAGCTTGAGTAGCTCCAGCGCCAGTGCCTCTAGCTCCAGCGCCTCAAACTCTAGTGCCTCCAGCTCCAGTACCTCCAGCTCTAGTGCCTCCAGCTCCAGCACCTCAAGCGTTAGGACCTCCAGCTCCAGCGCCTCCAGCGCCAGTGCCTCCAGCTCTAGTGCCTCTAGCTCCAGCACCTCCCGCTCCAGTACCTCAAGCTCTAGTGCCTCCAGCGTCAGGACCTCTAGCTCCTGCACCTCTAGTGCCAGTACCTCCAGCTCCAGCGCCTCCAACTCCAGCACCTCCAGCTCCAGTGCGACTCCGAAGGCGTGTGCGCCACGCAAGCCACTCGTGCAGCTGCTGTGGTGAGAGAAGCTCAGGCTGGGAAGACCGCTATGGCGAGGTCTCTGGAAGACCACCAGCAAAAGTAGCACCACCCGACTCAGCACCCCCAGAAGCAACACCCCCAGGCTCAGTACGCTCAAGCTCAGCACCCCCAGGCTCCGCACGCTCAGGCGTAGCACCCCCAGGCTCCGCACGCTCAGGCTCAGCACCCCCAGGCTCCGCACGCTCAGGCTCAGCACCCCCAGACGTAGCACCTCGAGCAGGACCACCCCCATCAGCACCTGAGTCACAAGGAGCAGTGGGTCTACCTGAGAGACACCTGAAGGAGCAGGACCTTGAGGGGGGAGGGGGTCAACCAGAGGGGGACCTGGAGCAAGGAAGAGCAGCAAGGGTGGGAGAGCGGGGCAGTGCGGTAGGGGAAGAGGCGGTAAAAGGGAACCGACTCTTCAAACGTGACGTTCTGAGTGGGGAAGAGACGGCGTGAGGTGGGGTGGTAAAACTGCGAGCCAGGCGCGTCACAGGGAAAGCCAAGGAAGACGCAGGGAATGGCGCGAGAGGAGAGCTTGTCCGCGGTGGTATCACGGACAAAGGCACGAGAGCCCCAGACCCGGAACCAAGACGCATCGCCAACCTCCCCCATCCAGCACACTATGGGCGAGGTCTCCAGCAAGGAGACACGGGGCCAGAGGTTGAGCTGATGCGCAGCGTATCGGACCGCAAACGGCCACAGAAAATGGGGAGCAGCCGCATGGATCATGGAGGTACGAGCCACCTCCATGACTAAGCCAATGCGGCGCTCAGCAACCCCATTCTGCTGCGGTGAGGCCGGAAGCGTGAACGACTGGAGGATGCCCTCCCCCTGACAAAAGTCCCACAAGAGGTCGAAGGAGAACTCACCACCTCTGTCAGAGTGTAGACGCAGGACGTGAAGGTCCATGCGGAACTACTTGCGGAGCTGGAGACGAACTGTGCGGATTTAAGGGATCAAAACAGCAGGGACCTCACCCTTGCTGCGCAAGGGAAAGACCGTGGTGTAACGCGAGTAGTCGTTGACTACCAGCAGAAAGTACCCCTCGCGGCCCTGTCCCTGGACGCAGGCTGGGCCCCACACGTCCATGTGGAGAGTCTGCAGGGTGGGGGAAATGAGGAGGAGTGAGGAGCGGCGCGCTGCCGCCCCTCAACGCAAGGAACGCAAGGCAGGGCAGGCGAGGGTGGGAGGGAAGGAAGAGACCTGGGAAGACCAGTGACAAGGAGGCGGGAGTGCATGCCACGAAGGCGTGGCAGGGAGGGGTGACCAAGGCGGTGGTGCCAAAGGAGAGTTTGGTGCGACAGGTGAAGACACTCGCAAGGGGGAGCTACCTTACCTGACGCGGCCACTTGGCCAGACACAGCAACTTGAGGAGGCTTAGTAGTCTATGTCTATAGACTCGACCCAGGCCGACAGGTGAACGTGGCCATGTGGAGGCCCGTCCGGGAGCACGTGCAGATCGCCACACGCTGGCCTCCAGGGGTAAAGGTATCAACCCACTCATCCTGAAGAGCTGCGTTACTCACCAGGTTCGTCGAGAACGAGGGGAGGTGGAGACCTGACAACGAGTTGGACGGAACCGCCGTGCACGGGAGCACAGTGGAGAAATGTGCAAGAACCGGACCCCCAGAGGGGTCAGCCAGGGAGACTGCAACCGGCCTAGGGAGTGGTGTGACTGTGGTACTGTCGCGAAAGAAACAGCGGGAAGCACCTGAGTCAAGCGTGAAGGTGTGCAAGGCCTCAGCAGGCGCAGTACCAGAGATAGCAGACTCACTAGCACCTAGAGCAACAGCCTCTATACCTGGGTCGGGCGGCACACACAAGTAACAGTCACCCCTAGAGCTAACAGTCATAGCGTACATGCCAGCAATGATAGCATCAAAGTCAAGAGCAAAGATATCAACACCAGACCTAAGCAGCTCTGCCCAACGGGGCATCTCAACCTCTTCGCCCATCTCAGCGCGCTAAGCGTCGTCTAGGCGAGAGAAACAGCAGTGCTGGGTGTGAAGCTTCCCACACGTCTGACCAGCGCGGTCACCTGTGCGAATGACGTACGGGCAGCGAGCACTGCCCCCACGCTGAGCAAGCCACTCACGAAGCTGCTGGGGCGAGAGGGTCTCACGCGAACGCTGCTGCTGCTGTCGCTGAACTGCTCCAGCCCGACCACCACCATTGCCGCCGCCGCCGCCACCGCCACTACCCCGCCGCCGCCACCACCGCCGCCACCACTCCCACTTCCGCCCCGACCACTACCAGTGCCACCCCCGCCGCTGCCTCCACCGCCGCCACCGCCCCCACTCCTACCACCACTCCCACTTCCACTGCCACCTCCGCCACCTCCACCGCCTCCACCACCTCCACGACCACCACCCCCACCGCCGCCACCCCCACCACTCTTGCCTCCCTTGCCCTTGCCGCTGCGGCGCTTCCCACTAGGAGCAGAAGCAGCACCGACCTCCTCAGCACCAAGGAAGTCGACAGCAGCAGCAGAAGCAACAGAGGGGGCAAGGGGGGAGGGGGAGCACCCCTCAAAGAAGGGCGCGCGAGGAGCGCCACGAGTAGCACCTACAGCGACTGCGCTAGTCTCAGTTGCAAGGAGTTGCTTCTTGAGCAGGTCGATGGTGAGCTCTATGGGGTGAAGGGTGAGAAAGTGGTCCCTAACTGCGGGTAGAGAGTCACGGAGGCGAGTGACAATAAAGTAGAGAGTGATGTAAATCGGGGGCTCGTTCTTGGGGACGAACTCGGCTGTGAGGGTAGCACAGTAGCGAACGTTGCTAACGCGAAGGTGGGTAATGAGGTCCTCTACAGTGGCAAAGGAGGACAGCTTGGGAAACAGGTAGGGCAGGATAAGGGGGTCAAAAGCTGCTGTGGCAGGGGAGGAGTAGCGGGCGACTACAGCGTCAAACAGGGCTTTAGTAGTCTTATGATGGCCAAAGTGAGCGTGTTCGGCTATCGGCAGGTGGTTGCGAACGGCTAGGCGAGCGGCAGCGTCACAGGTACGCCACTATGAGCGTGTCGCTCTATCAGTTGTGTCAGGAGGGGCAGTACAGGCTCCAAACGTGTGGTCAAACAGTGAGACATTGTCCTTAGAATCGCTCAGCAAGTACAGTTGTAGGTCGTCTAGCCACGTGTCGAACTGAATAGGGCGTCCCTCAGGGTCGAACTCGAGAACAGTGAGGGTGGCTATAGTTTAGCAGCATAGGGTAGAGCGTAGGGCAGGGCAGGGCAGTACACGGGCAGGAATGGCGGCGCACATGCTGCAAGGGGCGGCGCGCAGGTGAGCAGGAGTGGCGCGCAGGTAAGCAGGAGTGGCGCGCGTGCAGGCAGGGGCGGCCCGCGCCTGGCAGGGTGGCGCGCGGCAGAGCAGGGCATGCGCAGGGCAGGGCAGGGCGCGCGGGCAGGGCAGGGCCAGGCGCGCGCGCAGGGCAAAGGCAGCACGAGGGCTGCAGGGGCGGCGTGCAGGGCTGCAGATGGCAGTGCGTGGGCTGCAGGAGTGGCGCGCGGGGCTGCAGAGGCAGCGCGCGGGCTGCAGTGGCGGCGCGTGGGGCTGCAAAGGCAGCGCGTGGGCTGCAGGGGAGGTGCGCAGGGCTGCAAGGACGGCGCGCGGGGCTGCAGAGGCAGCGCGCGGGCTGCAATGGCGGCGCGCAGGGCTGCAAGGGCGGCGCGCGGGGCTGCAGAGGCAGCGCGAGGGCTGCAGGGGCGGCGCGCGGGGCTGCAGGGGCAGCGCGCAGGCTACAGAGGCGGCGCGCGGGGCTGCAGAGGTAGTGCGCGGGCTGCAGGGGAGGCGTGCGGGTCTGCAGAGGCAGCGGGCGGGCTGCGAGGGCGGCGCGCGGGGCTGCAAGGGCGGCGCGCGGGGCTGCAGTGGCAGCGCGAGGGCTGCAAGGGCGGCTCGCGGGGCTTCAGACATGAGGCGCGCAGGCTGCACAGGGTGGCGCGCGCGAGCGGCACAGGGCAGGGCAGGGCGTGGGGTAGCGCGGTAACCGCAGTCGGTCACTAAGCCAATGGTGGGCCCGAAAAAAAAAAAAAACGGTCCTACGGACCTACTGCTCTGAAACCATGTCAGAAACTAGCAGGAAGAATGAATGCACAAGGCAGGAATGTGGTACAAATATGGCAAACCCTAATTGGGTTGTACCCCTTATGGGCTACCCCACTATAGCCTACACAACATATTTTGACCAAGGGAGATGAGGGAGGGAGGTGGGATGGAGATGAGGGAAGGAGGGAGGGAGGGTTGTAGGGAGGGTAAGGTGGGATAGGCTAGCAATTATTTATGCATTTCTGAATTCTATTCATGACGGTTGCGTGTTTATTACGGTCTCTGTATCTATCTGTGCTTGTTTGCGTGTGTGTCAGTGTGTCGTTTGCTTATGCGTGCGTGTACGTGCGCGTGTGAGCCTGTGTGTGCGGTATGTGCGTTTGTCTGTTTGCACCTGTCTGTCTCGTGTATGCAACTGATGTGTGATGTTAAAGTGTGTCGGGTCTGCATTTGAGGTGGGGATCGTCATTGGGGCAGCGTTGCTTGCCTTAGCATACCGGAACCACCACTGTTGTAGCACCGATGTATTTTAACATTCACTCGCAGTTGTTATTATGTGTTGTTTTTGCACGTGTTATGCAACTGAGGTGTGATGTTAAAGTGTGTCGGGTCTGCATTTGAGGTGGGGATCGTTGTTGGGGCAGCGTTGCTCGCCTTAGCATACCGGAACCATCTCTGTTGTAGCACCGATGCATTTTAGCATTCACTCGCAGTTATGTGTTGCTTTTGCACGTGTTAAATAGATGCACATTATTTGCATTCATGTCCAGTTGTGTTTGGTGACAACCAATTGTTCCATTCGCCGTATTTATCGACGATTATGGAATGATAGGTCACCTTTGGTTTCACTTTTTTGGAGACTCATGTGCATTAGTGCCGCCTTTTCCACACATTTGGAACACTCGTTATCAAAACGTTAAAACGAGTGGTTTGGACGTTGGGAAAATGACAAAAACTGCACTGTTCATATGAGTCCACCGAAAAGTGCTACCAAACGTATAAGGTTGCTACGCAATCCAAAAAAAAAAAAAAAAAAAAGACGGCATCGGAATGGCCACGGCATCGGGAAGCGGGGCCGGAACCCTTCGAAGAGGTTGGGCGAAATGCCACTCATGAAATTTCCCACCCCGAAATGGGAAACGTAACAACCGCATATGGAACTTGCCTCCCCACCTTCCCCCCAAATGACCCGAAATTTTTGCGGCACTGACCTGTGCCTGACCCACGCCAAAAACTACTGTACCAGGATTAAAACCGAAAATACCCCACCCTCCCCCCCCCCCCCCCCCCCCCCCCCCCCCCCCCCCCCCCCCCCAAAAAGTACAAGCCGATCCCTCCTCGAGGTGTATTCGGGCGTGGAAAATTGGGTGTAAATGAGGGCCCATTCGTCACTCTGGTGACTCTGCTTGTGGCTACCCTCTGACAGCCAATGACGCCGCCATCCGTCTGCAATCCTCCGTGAAATGGTCGATGGCCATGGGATGGCATGGGACTCTCGTTTGCCAGGGGAGGAAATTACTTGGCCATTTCCGAATGCCATGATGCCGTCCGAAATTCAAGAAAAGTGAAAGGCGTTCGCCAGGCACCAAAGATTCCATTTCGGACGACATTAGAGGCTCGGCAGCATTTTTCCGGGCTGACCAGCCTGACGGAGCTTAACGAACCCTAACTGACGAGATCAGGAAGGCGAGACTGACCTTCCAGATCCCGTCGTTATCCCGTCATTTTTGCGTTCAAAGGTGCTGGCGAACACCGCCAAGGACGCGACACCTCGATGGAATTTGCCTGGATTGAGGAAAGTTTGCTGCCTCACACCGATGTGGGCACATCGATCGGCACACCGATGTGCCCACACTGCAAATTTGCGATC